TCCTTTCCGCTAACCATCCACATCCGACTCCCCGGGGCCGCCTTGCATCCTCGGTAGGCCCTGCAGGATCCGGGGGGGGCGCACCGAGTCCAGGATGTTCAGGTGTCCAGGGGCTCCCCCCAATTGGTCCACAGAAACTGACGCGGTTGACCAGTACGAGCGTTTCGTGAGACAAACGCATGGACCGAGGAATTTGGACTTGAAGCCTGAACGACCGCGCAGGAAGACTTGGAACTCTCAACGCCGGTGTTGATGTTACTTTGAGCAAATCCTGATTTAATTCAAGGAAGGGCAGAATCCAAGGTACCATCGAGGTTATGGTATGAGTTATGTTTCTGTTCTTCCTCTCTGGATAATTCTGGATACAGGAAAGTCAGGAAAGCGAAAAGAACAAATCAGGATCTATTTCCTGAAACAAATCAGTGCACGACATAAGAGCTGAAAAAGAAAAGTTCTATCCCATCGAACTCCGTCCGGAACCGGGTCACAGCACAAACCCCTCACCGGAGTCTCAGTCCCAGTCACCTCCACCTGGATTTGCCGCTTTCGGAAACACCTGGCACCATCACCTCACCCTGCAAGCATCCCGTTCGCTCCGTTGCGTCCCCTCCGCCGCTCCGTCGCCCTCCCGAACGCGCCGGGTTCCCCCACAGCTCGCTGGCCAAAAGAAGCCCCACGGGCCCGGCGCCCACCACCAAACAGTCCAGAGGCGCCTGCCCGGTCGATGAATTAACCCGCGAAGTCACACGGTAGTAACAAGGCGTGTGCAGGTGGGCGTGCGGGCGGGCGGGCGGGCGGGCGGGGAGCGGGCGGGCGGGCGGGTGGGACGATGCTTGTGGTCTGAAACGTGCAGAAAGGTGCCTAGGAGATTGTCTGCTACAGGGGGGAAATAGCGACTCACATTTAACAACAAACGCGAAGCAAAACCCGTGCACCACAACAAGCACTACGTGATGGTTGGTGGCAGTTGTTGACTGGGAATCATTCCAATGTGAGAATCCCAAGATTTGGCGCAGGCCTGACAAGTGATCAGCTGATGATCTGATCCATTGACAGTGATTGTCTGCCAAATTTAGGAATATTCGGATGATGGTGGTTAGGTTTTAGGCCTTTCTCAAAAAGAGTGATATTATATGCTTACATATGTTTAAATCAACTGTTACCGTTTAGTGGGACACACCCAAGCCAAAGTGTGGCAACATAAGTACAGGTTGTTTCACCAAGTCGTTGCCCACTGCTGCACAAGCCAGCTGAAGCACGTAAAGGAAGCAAATGAATTTGCTAGAATTCGCATTCCCTACTTCCCCCAAAACCACGCCTTTACTGTGCTTTACTCACACGATCCTGGAGGGGCAGTACTGTTCGAAGCCGCCCAACTCGTGGCATGTTCGGAGCTACGTTCGCAGTCTGATCACCATCTCAAGCAAACATGTCACCCCAGAAATCCGGCTCAACAAAGGATCTTCCTCGACTTCGAGTCAGCTCTGTGTTGCGAGTTCAGCTTTCGGCAGTTCAACTCTAGACCTTCGGTGCGGCGAAACGATCCCATCAAGCCGCTTACGAAAGGAACGTCGTGAACAAGAACCTCCTGGATCCTGGATCTTTGTGCCATCCTCTCCAAAACATTCCAAAACCCCTTCTGATCCCTTCCTGCAGAACACGGTGCAGAACTCCACCATCCCTCAGACCCCCAAACACCCGATACGTGGAGTCTGCCTCGCCGGGGATCTGCCCCAGCAGCGGACGTGGGTCCACGGACATGGCCGGCCGGACCGACGTGGCGCGTCCGCGGACCGTCTGCGGACCGTCAGACGGGTGGGCGGAAAACAGGTGATTCAACGCGGATCAGCGGTCTTTCATTATATATTTCGCTTCGAAAGGTGTGTCTTGGTCAGTTCTGAAGGTGAAGAACGAACATCTAGAAGAAAACACAAGTTTTCTCCAACAAAAGATGCTCTTGCTCCAGTTCATGGGTGGACTGTCGGCAGAATTGCAAAAGTTTTGTGTGTGTGTGTGTGATTGGCGTAGCATTAAAGCTCTTTCAGTCTGTTTTTACAGTGCCATATTTCACCTGTGTTCACTTGCTTGATTGAAGCACACTCATGGATTCATATGGATTCAGGAGAAACATTAACTTCCAACAACTTCATATGATTTATGATTTATGCTTCTGATGGCTGGCGCAGCGGAGCCGGCAAAAGTGAGGGGCAACCCTGTCGTCCATCCATCATCCACCATCTACAGTGGATACACTTTCCACATGCCAGACCATTCATGGGACTGGCATATATGCCCACATTGACCCCGTTTCAACAACTCCAACTAATCGGTAGATGAAGCTCTTCCAGCAAAAGGATCCTTCTCTCAGGTGCCTCTGATGGGTCCATTCAGGTGCCTCTGATGTCCCTTTCGGATCATCGTCCACCTCCTCGGATGCCCCAAGCACCCCCGGGTTGACGTGCACTCACTAGCTCGGCGACCCCGCAGTCCTAGGCGGTCATAGGAGTCCATCCGATTTCGGAGAGGGTGGAAGTCCAAAACCAATCCAAATCCCGAGACACATCCATGTATGGCATATTGATATATCTACGACCCCGTTGAAAAAACCACCCCAATGTAGGTATAAATATGCCATGCATGGAGTGTCTTGGAAGCTAGCCTCTACATGGACCCCGTTGAAAAAACCACCCCAATCTAGGGACATAGAGCAGCCCATGGCCGGAGGAATTCATGGACTCCGATTTATCCGAGTCACGAACGAACGCACGAGGCGTTGGCCTCGACCACGGCCGTTGACGCTGCCCACCGGCTCATGAACTCGTGATGGATGTTGACGTCCCCCATAGATGAAGAGGAAGAACAATCCATATCTGTGAGGTTTTCAAACAACACCTGGTATACCCTGGATAGATACCAATTCCAAGGTGGTTATGAGGTTTAGCAGGTACGCATCAATTGCCGTTGTTGAGCTATATATATATATTATAATATTCTATAATCAATTCGGAGAGGCCGTATCTATGTCCCGCAAAAGGCCGACACTGCGCGAAATCGAGGGCACTAAGTTCTGCATTCTTAGAAGAAAAGTAGATGTGCCCAAATCAAAATCCATCCATGCAACCCATGCAAAGCTCACTTCGGTTCACTCGTCTCGAAACTGCGGGCGCCCTGAAACTGCCCGAAACCATGCAGTTTTGGGCGTGGCGGCGCGATGATGGGCCTCTGCATGAGGGCTTAGGGCTGAGCACCATGCCATGTTAGGTGACCATTCTAAATTGATCTACACTATAACTATCCCCTACAGTAGACCATTAACAATGGTTGACCTGGCTCTGTAATATTGTGTAAAATCTTCAGTAAAACAATGGTGCTTCGGGATTCAGCCTATTAAATTCATGGAGTGCCAGGAAGCCCCAAGGAACCTATCTGAGGATCCCCTCTTGGCCCTCTGAGGTTGATAACACGGGTTTCTTCAACACAAATTGCAGCAAATGTCTGCAGATCACAGGTTCAGATCTGAGATCTGAGACCTGATCATTTGGTTCAAACCAGCTTCAACATCTTTCAGCCAATCTTGGAGTGTTCTTCGACAGTCTTCCATTCCTCTGTGAACCCGAAATATGTCGCAGAGTTGGCAGCTTCCTAAGGTCCTGAGTTGTTTGTAGTGATGATTCACAGTTTCCGGTGCCTATAGCTGTCACCTCAACCTCTCGGGCTTACATGTGGTTTCGGCCATCTCCGTCTGCTGCCCTCTGAGCCAAAGGCCGGAGACGACTGAAGCATGTCGAAACAACTGATGCCAAGGATGTCACACACACAGAACGCCATCATTAATACGAAGACCGGCTGAAGACACCCCCTACAAAACAGCTCATCTAAAAGCTCCAGAAGGTCAACCAGGTCTCAGGTATTAGTAATTACTCTCCTTAGGGTTCCAAACATATTGTCAGAAGGTGGTGTCGACTCCCCTGGCACCTAGCTCCAACCACCTTCGAAAAAGGAACTCGTTGGGCCACGGTTGGGACCTGAAAAGGACCGAGCTCCCCGAACCCTCCAGACCCGCAAAGGATGCTCGAAGCAAACCGGTCAGCTAGACATGGCTAGTCTATGGGTTGAAACCTGGAAACCGACCGGTTGACCACTGGCAATGAACAGAATAGATTGGTAGGGAGGTCAACCTGCTTCAGCCATATAAGAAACCTAAGAGTTTCTTGAACCCTCTCTCCAACATTCTCCAACAACCACCGATGGGAAAAGCTACACATTCTGTTTCAGAGTGGTGATGGATGCCTTTTCTCCATCGTTCATGGAAGTTGACAATGGCCCCCTGCAAAAACAAAAGCACAATTCTCCTCTCCAAACAGGGGGTGAACTAGACCGGCATGGACTGCTACGTGTCTTGTCTTGCTTGGGGCTTTACACTCCACGCATTCCTCGATTTTTCCTGTAGGGCTCGATGTTGCCGCGAGAAGGTAGCAAACGACCCAAACCCACCATGCATTTCGGATGTGCTTGGAGTCGCCTATATCCCTATAGGGCAACCCCTACCCTCCGTCTGCGGTCCCCATCGATCCTTGGGTGCCAATCCGATGCGCGCTCCGCGGATGGCCGGCGAACTGCTGATGCTTTGGGCGGATGGACATGACCATCACCCAATCCAGCTGGACTCCAAACCCTCTGTTAGGCTCCGCTCCATAGTCCATGAGCATCTGGGGACTAAACTTGAACGATCCAAACGACGCTTGCAAACCCTGAACAAGAACTTCATTAGCGCAACAAGTGCCACATAACTTCAACATCCTATGCCAGCACTGTTCACCCACAAGCATGTCTGGCCTCGAAAACATCAAGTCCAGCTGCAAGACCTTTTTCCGTGCGCCTACAATACTCGACATTGGCATTCGACACTTCACGCTCCTGAGCCCGCCCTTTGACCGTTTAAATCACATCTGCAAATAGCTGGTGTGTCCTTTCCCTATTTATCTCTTGAGTCACTTCATGTCGGGACGGTCAAACAGGTCTTGGTTGGACGGAGGTTCCAGTCCTCTCTCAGGAGTAAGCCTGATGGGCGGGGTCCACGTTGGGTGCTGGGGTGGGGAAGTCTTGAGTCCGATCCCACTGTGCAGAAATGGCTCAAGCCATGAGGCTTTGGCTTTCATCATGATAGGTGGAGCCTAGTAGCCAGGTTTAAAGACAGCGTCTTCACAGACGAGCGTTCTGGTTGGAACCACCGCCATACCTTCATCTCCATCGAGCCAACCACTTTGGTGGAGCCCCGGTCTCCCCAGGTCTCCATGGTTTCTGCTGCTTCCCCCACGGCGCGGGGAAGCCGCCGAGGATCGAACCGTCGTTTCTGCGACCGGCTGAACACCTCCACCTGTCTGGCCATCCAAAGGACGTTAATTTAAATCAAGTGGAAAAGCTTCCTCTCCTTAAACACAGCGTTTTGAGGTCTTGGTCAGCACCTCCTGATTACCTATACAGCGTTTGGTGTCTCTTGCTAGTTCGTGGGTGGCAACCCTTAAGGCAAAAGCTAGAGATTATGTATCCAAAGAACAGTCATATGAAAGATTACAATATGCTTTACAATGCATGTCTGGGTCGGCTATCAAATATATTCAAACATTGCCCTTGTATCACTTGCCCGAAGGGTCCAAGACCATCCGTTTCTCGGATGTCCTGAAAGGCCCCCAGGCAACGACCATTCTCAGGAAGCTCCTGGACCCTGAGGGTTGTATCTCCTTCAGCAGCTTCGCCGCGCCTTCAGCAGCAGCTTCGCCGGGTCTTCTTTTCGCTCCTCGGCCGGAGAACGGGGGGGAGCCATTCATCACCGCGCGATCGCCTGAGAATGGGGGTGTGGCAACGGGAGGACGCAAGTGCCACATTGGGCAACGGAGGTACTTGGGTACCTGGACCTGACTTCAAGTACTTTAGAAAATGGGACATGACCGCCAAAAAAAGATTAACATGTACTTGTACCCATGTTCCGAGCGAGTTCCGGGGTCGACTCCAGGTACGGCAACACGTGCAATCGCAGGTACCCGCATGTTGGTTTGTCGGGCCATTCAGGTTTGACGACAGCCACAGAGTGCTGCACTCATCTTCTTTTGCAGGCACTTGCAAGTCAAACACTGAATCAAAGAAACATTCAAGCATATACTATGACTGTGAGTGGCACGGGATCCTGCAAGTGCCAGAATTGGGAAATTTTAGAATACATGTTGACCTGGGATGGTGGGGGTTCGTTTCGCCATGGAAATCCATACGCATCCCCAATGACTTTGAGTAAAGGATCCTGACCAATGTCCTGTTAAGTACACACTTGTGAGCGCCCAAACACTCCATGTGAAGGACACCGAGCGTCGATGACTTGGGCTTGGCTGACTTGGCTTTGGGCTTGTCCGGCGCATTCACCGGCGAGCCTGGGAGGTTTTCACGGCGCGGTTCTTTTTACCGCGATGACAAGGCGAGTGAGTGGGTGCAAAATGAGGTGGCAAAGGCGAGTTGAGTGAAGGAGGTATACGTATCTTTTTTGAATCTTATCACATAGGAAAGGCCAATATGTTATGTTGGGTGCTTGGTTCCTAAAGACAGGCGCCAAGGCCCAAGCGTCATGCAGCTTTGTTCTAAAGGTAAACAAATCTTGATAAGGTACATATAGTAAGTCTGACAGCTACTCCGAATACCCCAGTGAGGTAATTCATCTGGTCAGAGTCAAGCTGGTCGACCGAATTTGAGACACTGGGACACATATATTGGACAAGGATAAGGGTTAGCGGCTGGTACACATGCACGTCAATCAAATTTCTTGCTTGGCAATCCTGCCAGAAAGCTCAAACTACTCATCTCTGGTGGGGGGCAGCCACGGCCTCACACCACTTAGACTTGGATCTGAGGACCAAAACCTGTAAATCCATCGACTGTTGAAGGAACACATGTGAAGAAATCAAAAGAGAATACACATGAGATAGGCCCGCACCATCCGCACTACCATCCGCCAAAAAAGAGGGTCGTTGATAGACCCCCGCGAGACTCCCATGTGGAATCCAACCACCCGACCAGTGTATTTCACCGGTGACACTTGGTAAGAACGGTACATTCGAGTTGGTGCCCGTGTCCGGCACCAATTGTCCCATCATTTCCATCCCCACAGTGCAGCTCAGCTGCCCATGGGGGAGACCTGCGCGGAAGTGAAGGGCAGGCATCGCGATGGAGTGGAATTCGTTGAGATATGGGTGCGTATTAACCCTAGGGCTCCTGTCCCACTTCCTGAGAAGATGCTTGGGGTGGGTGCCAGGGGGGTCTAACACACCTTCTGAGGAGATGCCCCAACGTCAATTAGGGAGACCTCCCATCGGAAAATCGACTGGTCGTCTACCCAGCCCACCGGTCCTGGAAGTCTCCCGGAGACTTAGACAGACACGACCTGTTTGGGATTGGCATATTTACGGATCAAATGACCTTGTTTCAACATGTTTCAACCGCCCCTGGCCTGATCGGTAAAATATGCCAATCCCATGGGTCGTGTTTGGGATACATTCATCTGTATGGCTAGCCTGGCTGCTTAGCTGGGAGGCTTTTTGGATTTGGATTGTAAAAACGTAGGTTTGGGAGAGGGTGAGCTGGCTCGATGGAGTGGAAGCTGAGGTGACAAGCCAAGCACGTCCGTCAACGCATATGTGTCAGTGAACCGTCGAACCGTCGGAATCCGTCCACAGTGAGCCTAAGGACAGGGACACTAACATTGAAAAGTTTATCACGACTCTTGACAGTAAGCTGACAAGCGTACAAACGATAGCGACTGGCCACTCTGCTGTCAACACGAACTGCTCCAAAAAGAAGATAGACTGCATGATATAGGCAAAGAACATCTACAGGAACCCTTCGATCGGACTGGACACTCTTCCAACCAGTTTCCAGGGCGGATTTCATGATGTTTGAAGTCTTGTTTGCGCACGAGACGTGCACGAAAATCAAAGTTGGTGCTCATGGTTTTTCCAACGTCTATTACAATGTCTAGGGACTTGTCTAGTCTAGTGATGAACATGCATGACATGTTGCGTCTGAGCATTCAGTGCACCAACATGGCAGTTCTTTTTCACACTTGCTACTTTTGTGGAAAACATGGAGGTCCCCGAATAGCTTGAGTTTTGGACATGTTGTTGACAAGGGCTTTGTTTTGACATGTTGGAACATTCATTTGATTCAAAGGCTGGAACATGTTCTGAATTCCTTGTTTCATCTATCCGACTTTCTAAATGTGATGACCACTTTTGGAAGCACCAAGGACTCAGCCTGAACGGACTTGGACGCACATGCTTTGGGCGCGCCTGGCGGTGCCGGGATGATTACGGATGATTGGGGTGGGTCTGGTCAGGCAGGACTGGTCCTATCCACAACGTTCGCCTGCGCATGGCGATTCAAAGATGTTGAAAATGAATGTGACAGACTGTGAGTAGAAATAAAAAACGGGCCAATGTCTAAGGTGTAATTTATGTTTATGTTTCTTTGTTTCCATGCTTTGCCTCGGCCTATGACAACCATTTACTTGAAGTTTCAACCCATGTTGATCCAAACCAAGATTGCTGCTTGTTTTTTCAACGTCAGCTGCATCGGATTTCAACACGCGAGCAATCCCCACTCTAACCCCTCCACTCCCACCTTTCTCATCATGGCCTCAGCACGTGCACGTCCCCACTCGGCACGTCCGCACGGCCCAAAAAA